TCGTTCAATTGGTGACCCATGTTGCCCATAAGAGATGGATAGGAAACAGGAAATCTCCACAGGAACCATCCGAATGAATATTAGGTTGAGTCATAAGTCCTCGGACAAATTGACAGTAAAAATATTTATCTTACCATTTTAAACGAAAAATGCGAATCATCTGAAATATGCCCCATTGGCATCGATGGTCTTCTGCCAACGCTTGGGCACATCGTAGTTGCCCTAGCTCCAGAATGCTGGGGGCTGGTCCTTGAAGAACTGTTCGAGTGCCATTTTGATGTCCTCGCGGGTTTCAAAGTCTCTACCATCCAGATGACGTTGGAGATGGGAAAAAAGATGATAATCCGAAGGAGCCAAGTCTGGGGAATATGGTGGGTGGGATAAAACTGTTCAGCCGAAATTTATTAGTTCAGTCTTGGTCGTTCTTGCAATGTGTGGTCGAGCGTTGTCGTGCTGGAAGTAAATCTTCTGGTGCTGTGGTCGTGTAGCTTCGAGCTTCGCCTTCAAATTCCTCAGTTGCTTAATGTAGATGTCGGCGGTCACTGTACATCCTTCGTCTAGCAGCTCCAAGTATTCGACGCCGTGAACGCTCCACCAGATGCAGAGCATGACCTTCTTGGTGTGAACGTTGGGTTTGGGAGAGTCTTCTGCATCGGCACCTTTGTCAACCCACTGAGCACGCCGGTGGACGTTAGAGTAGGGAATCCACTTCTCATACCCGGTAACTAGGTGGTCAAGCCACGTGTGGGTGCGCCTGAGCGTGAGGAGAGAAAGTGCCATGTCGGCGCGGCGGTCCGTGTCATACTGCTACAATTCATGGGGCACCCATCGACCAAGCTTTCGCATCTTGCCGATTGACTTCAATCCACGAATAACTGTGGACTGACTCACCTAAGAGAGACTGCCACCTCACGAGCAGTTTGGTACGGATCGGCTTCCACCTGGCTCCGCAGGAGGTCCGAATCCAACTCCTTCCGGCGACCCGGACGGTCTTCATCTTCGATGGAATAGTCGTCCGGAGGCAAACTTCGAGTGCCATTTGTAAATTGTGCCTCTCGAAGAGCACCCTCCTTGTTAACTTCCTTCATGCGTTTATCGATCTCCGCGGGCTAATGGCCAGATAAAATAAGAAACAGAATGGTGTTGCGGAGGTGGAGTTGCGATGGCATGAAATCATGGGTCATGATTGCAGGAAATGAAACAGTTAGGTGCGTTTCTTAACATGTCTTTGGAAGAGCTTTTCAAACTCTATCTAATGATGCCTTGCGCGCTCAATTTGATTTCCTCTTTCCCGTGTTATGATCTCTAGAATTAATCAATACCACATTGTCCGAGGACTTATGACTCAACCTAATAGTTTCGATGTGAGAAAAGAATTTGACTCGAAATTATGATGAGAGTAGTCTGACCAGGGAAGGATCCCAAGTCGAAGTGGCCATTTGAAATGAGTCCTACACTGCTGCACGTGTTTTGGATGCTGAGTTCAAATCTGCTCTACAAATTTGCTGAGCGTTTCTGTGAACGTATTATAAGGGTGGTTTCAGGGAGCTTGACATAAGAAAACTTAAATTACTTGGATGCACCTTTCTTCACAACGGCGGCTTGGTGTAGTGGTAAGTGTGACGCTTCAAGTGCGGGAGACTAGGGCTTGGGTTTTGTGAAGGACGAAGTCTTTGCATTAAGTAGAATTTGTCCCTTAAGGACTAGAAAATGCTCTCATTGTAGTTTTATCACGTTTTATGACCTTTTGGTAATGCGAAAATTCTGTCCTCCACAAAAAACAACCCTACTCTCCCGCACAAGAAGCGTCACGCT